TCCTGACAGGTATGTCCTCATAGTGAAAAGTTCCTGACAGGTATGTCCTCATAGTGAAAAAGTTCCTGACAGGTATGTCCTCATAGTGAAAAGGTCCTGACAGGTATGTCCTCATAGTGAAAAAGGTCCTGACAGTAATGTCCTCATAGTGAAAAAGTTCCTGACAGTAATGTCCTCATAGTGAAAAAGTTCCTGACAGGTATGTCCTCATAGTGAAAAGGTCCTGACAGGTATGTCCTCATAGTGAAAAAGTTCCTGACAGTAATGTCCTCATAGTGAAAAAGGTCCTGACAGGTATGTCCTCATAGTGAAAAGGTCCTGACAGTAAACTGTGCCGGTGGCAGACTGAAACAATCTGGTTTTTAATCTGACTGGGTGCTTTAGACTGCAGGCCAACACACACACACACAGCTCTTTACATAACTCTGCTTGGATCTATGAAGCTGTCATTCTGTATTCAGGAGGAAGTGTGCGAGCGTCTCATTGTCTCCATTTGGACTATTTATAGGAGACCCCGCCCCCTGGTGGCTCAGCTGATGTCAGGCTCATGATGTCTGATTGGTCTCAAAGTGTAATTAAATTTTAGTGGAAGTGAAGCAGTGATTAGAGCGGGTCATTTCCTGCCAATGAGCTCGTTAATCATGTTTACACAGTTAATTCAGCTCGTTAAAGAGGACCTGTGTTTCTGCTTGTTACAGCTTGATTCAGGGTTCCTAGGACAACAACATGTTTAATCTTAAAACCACCTCGTCCTGTTTCTGCTGAACCTGCCACACGGGGGGGGAGTTCAGAGGCCGAGATGCTGCCCGCGTTCAGGAAGAGTGACTGAGCGGCCATCTTGTTGTGGTCCAAATATATAACTACTATAAAACTACTGTGCGACTTAATGACATCACACAGGTCAAAGGAGCTGATGGGAGGACATTTCACGTCGTCGTACCGTGCATGATTCCATGTGACCAATAATAAATTAATAAATATTTTTTCGGAAGTTGTCCGTGATTGAATCAGGGAGATATTTTAGTTTAATAGTTTTAAACAGAGACATGCAGAAGTGTTGGGTGTGTTTTTGAGCTTTTATCATTTCAGATGGACCAAATAAAAACGCACTAACTCAACAACAAATCCAACATCCAGGCTGACACAGTATTGCCTCCTGTCGTCAGACGCTGTTGGGACATCCACTCATTTCACTCTGCTTCTCTAGAAATGACAGGAATGAATGATTCTGTTTTTATCTCCATTACAGCAGAAGAAGAACATTAACACAACAGCTGATTGAGAACTTCTCAAACAGCAAGTGGACACTGCAGCCGTCCTCAGGACTCGTCCGTCCTGCTCCTGTTGAGCAGCAGAAATAGATCAGTAACAGATATTATCTGCAGCAGGATGTTTTTCTTCCTGATCACGTCAGCATTATTAAAAGCTGATTACAGAGCGGAGTGACTGATGCGTCCTCTCCGATTTATGGTCTCATTTCTTATCCTGTATTTATTTCTGTCTTCTGACCTCATGAAGTCTGAATCCGTATGATTCTCCCTCTGAGCTCAAAGCTTGATTCATCACGTCGATTTGACTCGTCAGCTGGCTTCAGACTGATGTGGTTTAACTCATTCAGGTTAAAATAATCCTGTGCTCTTATTTTGAAATAAGGCTACATGAGTTAAGAAGATCAGCAGCTACACTGAGCTCCATGATCAGTGTCAAACTATCGATCAGAGGCTTTCAATTATTGTCTTTTGAGGAAAACTATAGAAGCCATTTTACAAAAACCTCATTTAAACAACTTTTTGACACACTCACAAATACACCTATGTCTTTCTTAAGAAAGCAAGCTGACGTGAAAGGAGGTTCCCACCCGATGACCCCAAAGACATGTTAGTTATCACTGCTCACTGGTCTGTATAGTTAAGCCTTGCCATAATAGCTTATCATAGGGCTTAGGAGGTTATTCACTGAGTGCTGATCCTTTCTCTAGAGCACAAACTTCTTGTGTTTAGTTGAACTAGTAACTTAAGTGTAAAATTAAATCTAAAAGTTAAATATTAAATTTAAGTGTTAAATCTAAAAGTACATCTAGTAATCTAAATGTTAAATAAATTACATCTAAAAGTTAAATCTCTGAACTAAATTTTAAATATTAAAAGTGTAAAATTTTATCCTAAAAGTTAATTGTTCAATTTAAATGTTAAATCTAAATGTTAAACCTAAAAATACATCTAGTAACCAGTGTTGGGCAGTAGTGTCACTACAGTAGCGGACGTTTGTAGTTTAACTGCATTTCTCAGTAGCTTGGTGGTAGCGTTGCTGTTTTCTGAATCAAGCAACTTCTCAGTAGTTAAGCTCTTTTATTGATCACTTAGCCACACAAGCTACATTTCCAAAATCATTTCTGAAGCTCAAATGAGGCAGGGATTTCTGTTATGGGCTGAAATAAAACTGTCAGCGCTACCACACAGAGTCACTTCCACATGAAGCTGACAGGGGACAGCCCTCCATTCCGAAACACCGCCGTTCCGAACGACCCCCCACTCCGAAATTGATTTCAAGTCCATATCAAGTTTCCTGCATCAAACACTGCCGCCCGCTCTCCGGCTGCACTCGTACAATTCTGAAACTCGCTGTAGGCTACTACAAAAGCTTGAAATGAACGTTCAACTTATTGTTTTTTATTGAAAATATGTCACTGTCTTCATTTATTATGTATAATTTCTCTAGCAGCAAACACATTTAAAGGAGACGCTTGTCAAGTCTTTTTACGCGCGTCGTCCGTGGTGCTGAAATCCCCGCTGCAGCCGCCACTCCTGCTGACAGCAGACCAGGGGAGAAAAAAAGACATTTCTTTGCTCTGTGCTTTCAGAAAATAACCAGGGTTAGAGTAAGAAAGACCAACGGTCTGTACAGCAGTCCCAGGGCAGGGCATATCAGTGTGATTATGCGCAAAGATTGGTTTAACGCATTGGAGCAATTTCATACAATTTCGGACATTTAATGTGATAAACTAATTTCAATTCAACATGGTCATTTGCTTAGAGGATTCAGCTGAAGCATAATAAGTGTTATATGTCATTAAGATGAAGTATTTGCTTGTTTTGTGGTTAATTATGCACATAATCCATTTGACCCCATAATGAATGGGATTTTTATTCGTTCCTGCAGACAGAGACAAAAGGATCAATGCGCAGCCTCCGTTTCCTTTGTGTCCATCTTGTTCATTCAAACTTTGTAAACACGGTTGGGATTTGTAGGGGACATACATGTGTATGCTGCTCACTATAAAATGTGTTTACTAAAATGTGTTTACTAAAATGTGTTTACTAGCCTCATTTCTAGTCAAAACAAGTTTTTTTTTTTTGCTTGCAATAAGAAAAAAAAAACTTGCTCGTTCCGTGGACAGATTTTTTTTTCTACTTATTTCAAGTGAAAATTTTCCTGAAACAAGTGAAAATTGTCTAAAAACAAGTTACTTTTTAGGTAATGAGTCTTATTTCAATTGTAATGAGATTTGTTTTGACTAGAAATAAATATTCTTGGTAAGATTTTGAGTTTTTGCAGTGTACATACACATACATACACGCATGTACGTTTTTGACCATGTTGTGACTGTTTGAAGCAGGTCTTCATTCTTGCTGTTGTGTTTTGAGTCGTGTTGTGAGTTAGTGCAGCTCACTGTTCAATAAACAATTGAACTTAACTTTTTTACCTGCCTATCTGTTTGACTGATAGTTTTATTGATCAGTATGGTAACACTGACTTGGCACGAAGTTGGTTCAATTTAGGAAAAAGCTTGGATGTAGTTGCACTAGTTACTTTCATTTTGCTGTAGCTTAGCTTGCTACATTTCTGAGGGTGATAGCTTTGATGTAGTGAAGCTTCATTTAATATTAGAGTAACTAGTAGCTTAGCTCACTACACTTTCCAAGTAGCTTGCCCAACACTGCTAGTAACCTAAATGTAAAATTAAATCTGAAAATTTTAATGTTTAATTCAAATGTTGTTGTCCTGACGTGTTCCCCCCCTGACACCACCTGGTGGCGTTAAATAATAACGGAGACTGACCACATATCACGCCGTCATGAAAGGACGGCTTTTCTCATCGATGTCTGACGCAGGAAGTAACTGACCGAGCGGCGGTATGCGACAACTTCAGTGTGAGACCGGGATGTGAAGAGTTAACAAATTAAGAAATAATTAGTTTCTGTTACTCACGAGTGTTTGGAGTTGTTTTTGTGTTCCAGTGTTGACGGAGATATTTTGTACATTAAAGGTCGTGTGGACAGAATTTGTTTTTAACTTGAGGGTGAATATACATTTATATATCTCTGTGTAGATGTGGCATTGGAATGAAGGGAGGAGTTGTTTAATCCATTCTGCTGACATTGAACGCAGCCTGACTCCAGCTTCAGAGCTGCCAGCGTCGTGTTCTGGTGATGTTTTAGCTCCTGTGCACTGATGGCTAACTTCCTGTTCCCTTTTTTGTCTCCTCCCCCTCAGACCAACAAGGCGGTGTCTAAAGGAGACTTCCACCTGGCGAGTTCCAGTTCGAGGCGGGCTCTCTTCCTGGCCGTGCTGTCCATCACCATCGGGACAGGTATCTACGTGGGCGTGGCTGTGGCGCTCATCGCCTACCTCTCCAAGAACCACCACTGGTAAACCTTGTTGTCAGGGAGGAAAAATTACCCATCAGGCACCGGGAATGTGTTTGGGGTCTTCACCTGGAGTCTCAGGTGAGCATTTCCTCGGCAGGTTGGCCCGCGGCAACGAGCTGGAGGACAACTTCCTGTTTGCAGATGCAGAGACGCTTGTGTTTCTACACGGTGACGTCTGGATGGCGCTCAACGGGTCGACTGTTTGTTGGGTGTTTTTCAGGACTGGAACCTGAAACCTTTAAACCAATCAGACGGCAGAATCTTTGACCAGACAAGACAGACGTTTCCTGTGACTTTTTTCTTTTCATTCAGATTTTGATGTGATTTTAACTTTAAACAGATAAAAACATTTCACAGCTTCATGTTTTTATTTATTTTTCTCAGAATGTGACAAAAACTGCAAAAATACACACTGAAATCATCTCCGCTGTCCGCAGACTTATTTCAGCACGCTCTGAAGTCGTCAGATACCGTCGGGTGAGTTACTCTCAGAATTACTAGTTACCTTCATTTGAAAGTAATAAGTTACTTTACAGAATCACTCTCTGTGTAGAGTAATCAGTTACTTATTAAACAAATGTTGAGGATACAACAAACAGAATGGCGTGCGAGTCAGGCACTATGTTAACTATATTAATTAATAAAATAAGATAAATAAATAAAAATAAAAATACATAAAGTCCAGTTCAGGCCACAGATTGGCGTCAAGATGAAACCGTTTTAGAATGTTGCAGAGAAAAGTAGCAGCAGTGTGAGCTCGACTCAACAACCACCAACTTTCACCCAGGAGGCCGGTGTTCACTTCCTGTAAGACTGTAACGCCAAACCCTGTTCTCTTTTCCTAAACCCAACCACATGTATGTGTGTGTGTGTATGTGCGTGTGTGTGTGTGTATGTGTGTGTGTGCGTGTGTGTGTGTATGTGTGTTGGCTAAATGTAACCAAACCGTGTTTTTTTTTTCGAAACCTGATCATGTGATTTTGTTGCACAAGGAAATAAATACGAGGTGTTTTACAGACATATTTTGAAAAAGACTGTTTGCATCTGATGAGCAGACTTTGAAAAGACACAGTTCATGTGCCAGGCGTAAACTGACACGGCGTCCCAGAACGTTAACAACAGACCCATCCAGGATATCTAGCATGTCACATATAGATGTCACAGTCCACTGAACGAGCGGCGATATGTGATGAGTTGGGGCTAATAATGTGTTCGGCGTTGGAGACAAAAGCACAGAGGAACCTTTCACTGATACACCCCAGCTGGTGGCGGTTTGTAACGCCACCAGCAGCTACTGTAATCTGAAGAGTGAGAAGGTCCATACACAGGTGGACGGATCAAACCAGCTCCTGCCTGAACTTTAAGCCAAACCATGATGTTTAATTCTAAATCTAACCACACGCTTTTGTTGCCTAAGTTAAGAGAAAAAAACATATAAACAAGGTGTTTTATCAATCAGCTGTAAGTTTATTTTGAAAAAGCCTGTCTGCATCTAATGAGCAGAAACTGTGCACTTCCTGTGAAACAGAAGTTTCTTTAAAAAAGATACAACGCGCGTAGAAGATCAGGCATCAACAACTAACGCACCTAAGATACCTGGCGTATGTAGAGATTAAAGGTCCACTGAACGAGTGGTGATATGTGACGAGTTGTGAGTGAGACGATGTTTTAGGGATGCTCGCTAATATCTCCAGATAACGGCTTTAATATGAAACATCAGCCTGATATGAACATTTCTGCTGATGAGACAAACAATGATGAGATGACACCTTAAGGCCCATTTATGCTCAACGTTAAATACGGATCCGGATACAGACGCAGCCTTCTGTCCGTGCTCTGCGTTCATTTCGTCCGTATTTCTGCACGTTTCCATAAAGCTTATGGATACGGGCCAAACGGAGCAGTACCTCCGGGAACCGTGGGGGCAGTGTTGCTGTCACTACCTGATACGTAGCTCTAGTGAGACACGAAGAAGAAATAACAATTCAGTTTCTCTCATCAGCAGTACTAGAGAAAAGAATTCTCCGGTCCAGTCGCGATGTATTTAACGGCCTCACCGACCACCGCCTCCTACAACGCTGCCTCTGTTTTTGTCTTTTATGCAAGACGTACATTATCAATATCTCCTCCACAGTCGCCATGTTTGTTTTTGAGTTTGTTGTTGTCATAAACTTTTGACTCTGGGCTGCCTCCTGGTGGATATATTGGTTAACATCCATGCCAACGTAAAGGTCGCATGGAAGTATGTGGGTAGTGTCGGTATCATCGTTTGAAACGGACGTATACATTTTCGTACGTAAAGGGAGCATAAATGAGCCTTTAATGATGTAACAATAAGAGCAGGTGTAATAACATGTCAGTTCACTTCAGGAGAGACTCGATGTTCTCTGCGACTGGGAGGAATGACACGTGCATACCTTGAAAAACTACAATAGCTGGGGCTATTATTTGCTTAAATCCCTGAACTCAACAGACCTTTAATTCCTTTAACACCAAACTGCTGCTCAGCAAAGATCAAGAAATACAATCAGATTATTGATATAAACCAGTTTGAATATGACTGTATAAAATTAGACTTCAGATAACAGATCAATGTGTTATATTGTTCTCCTGAGACCTCAGCTGCTGTTTGGGACACATGTATAATGACTGGGATCAGCAGAACTTGACAAGTATAACTAAACGTCGTCTTTGAACAGGAAGTAGTTTTAGAAAGAAATGACTTGGGTTCATTTTTGATAAAGTATAAAGCTGTTTATTTAGATGTCTGAATGTCATTGTGCAAAAACTAAATTACAAATAACGCAACAAATCTAAAACTCTTTGTCCTTGTTTCCTATCACAGCAAGGAGTGTCCTCTGTCTGTAGAGACGCTCTGTCACACTTGAGATGACGAGACTTAGTGTCCTCAAACGAGCGCCTCCTAATTAGCAGCTTGTTACTGTATTAATTGCACATGAACGAATCTCAACCATAAAATGTGATCAGATTCTGGACCTTGTCCACTTCTGTGTTGATGTCGGCTGCAGACTGACTTGGCAGAGATGGCACCACATTATCCTGTTAATAAAAAACCCTTTTGATCCTTTTGATCTGAGGACCTGTACGGGCTGAAGGAATATGAATAATTTACAGGGTAATCCAGGAATAATCTGACTTTATGACAGCTTCAGAGGAAACGTAGGGAGTCACCACCTGTTTATTCGTCATGCCAGTAAATCTGAGTGAATGATTCTGCGGTGCTCGTGGTTTCAGTAAAATGAACCGAGCTAACGATGTGAAGCGCCTCCATACTGACACAAGTTGAAACATTCATATCTGCATGTGCGATCTAAACGGCTAACTAACGTTCAAGTTAGCTCAAGTTAGCTCTAAAGAACTTCTATAAAATTGAACTGCTTGGTGACCAGAGCAGGCCTCTAACAGAGACAGGCCTTTATTTGTCTACACCAGGCTGGTAAAAGAGACCAGATGTTTAATTGGGACTAGGCTTTTAATTGAAGTTTTACAGTACACTGGTAACTGCATCAGCATCGGCAATCAGCCAAAGTGAGATGGAAAATATCAGCAAAGATCCAGCATCATGCCTCGTTAATGTGTTTTGTATATTTGTGAAACAAGTTTGTGAGACGGAGCTGATTTTTAGGTGATTTTTTGCAGCTTTTTATTGTCGATTGTTTCCTGAAAATTTGGATGAAGATGAAACTTTTTGTGATTATTTTACCAACAAATGCACGTCCTGATGTCAGGCTTCAGACATCACATGTAAAGAAAAAAACCTTTCAAACCAAATGAAACTGATTTCGGTCTGTGATCAGTCCTGGAGGTGACACGCCAAGAAACTACACACAAGTATTAAAGAAGTGAGTGTGATGTCAAAGTTAGAAACAGCAGAAGAAAAAGATTTCTGCAGTCTGAAACTTTTCACACGGATCACATTTAAAGAGGCAACAGATAGGATTCGTTTTTTTTTAGCTTGGCGCCACCTAGCGTCAGTGGTGCTGCGTCGCACTGTGGCAACGACCAAACTGAGCGTGGGGATCAGAGATAATGAATAAAATGTAGGCTGTAAAGCCACCAGTATACCTCTATGTATATGTAGAATGAGAAGGTGTGTGGACACTCTACTAAATAAATGAGTAAAGAGACCGAGCAACAATTATCAGATTTATCTGAAGAAAAAACAAATAGTAATGCAAATAATTATAGCAGAATGCACAGTACCAGTACAAACAGCTCACAGTAAATGATACCAATATGTACAGTATCAGTACAAACAACAGTAGACACAGTGGAATTATACCAATATGCACATGTAAACAGTCCCCATTCTAGAACAAACGCTACCGTATGGAAACCATGCGGCCGGTTGGAGCTCAAATTGAATGGGAAACAAAGTCCAGTGTTCACTTAGCTGGGCGTAACTTAGCTGGGCGATGTCCGTGGATAGCTGCCTCCGTGAGAAGAGAACAGAAGGAAGGGAGGGGGGTATCACTGTCCGAGGGCTGCCGTAGAATGGCAACCAGGATGTCAGCCGACCAACACTCGCTACCCGCTCCCTGGTTGCGGCGATTTGCGATGCTGGCCAGCTAGGAATGAACTAGCAGCCAGTACAGTACAGTCCTCTCTGGTCTAGCTAACATTTAGCCGTGTTACTTACTGATCCATTAGAAAGAAAGCTAGCTGGACATGGGTTTTGAAGCCTCTTTGGTCACGGAGCTCCCTCCATCTCTTGAACGCCTGACTGAGGTTTACTCTTTTTTCCTCTTCTTTTATCACTCTCCTTTTTGCTCTTCTTTGCCTCCTCACACAGAGGAGCTCCTTTTCTTTTGCTAGGCCGTTTTTCACTTGTCTCCAAACTTTGTCCGTCTGCCATTGTGCTCGTGACTCAACTATCTCATGCCCAACTCCTCATAAGGACCAGCTCCAGTCCCTGATTGGCTGACCGACCAGTTTCACAATACACGACGCGTTTCCTGCCGTAAAGCAGATTTTTTCCATGAAATTTCAGCACCGGTGGCAGAAGCTTATTGCAAAGATTGCACAGTAACCTATGTAAACACTGATAGTCTGATTTTACTGTGGACACTACCCTGTGCAACTCACATTATTTTCATCATGATATATTTAGGAAGAGATGCTGTCTGTTGCTTCTTTAACATCCAGCATAAAAAGTGAACAGACAGGAAGTGACCTGTTTCCTGTCATTACCATGAATATTAATACACATATACCACAGAGCAGCTGTTTAACGTCACCTTGACTGATTTCTGTCTCAATGATCTTTATCAGAAACTCACAAACTGATTTCTTGTATTGTTTTTTTAATGAAATTCTTCAAAACAATAAAAAAGCTCC